ATCTGTAGATACTTTGCAGAATTCCCATTTTGTTAATCTTCAATTCTTTTCATTTGAGTTAAAAATATTAAATAATCACCGGTTTAGGCGTTTATACTTTATGGGTTGAATTAAAATGAGTCAGGTGAGTTTTCATATCTAATTGTCAACTAGACTGATACTTGTCATGATCGATGATGAATAGCATTACTCAAAAATATTATCGACTTTGTTAACAAGGTAAGAACTATTTCTAAAATAATTAATTCCAACGTTGAACAAACAAAAAAAAAAAAAAAAGAAATTTTTCTTATTTACAGATAAAGAATAATCACTAACAGGTAAATTCTTTGAACTAATTAGCCAAACACGCACTTAAAACATGAAATAGTAAAGTATCAAAATCTGGAGTCGTAAGTTCTTAGTTATGTATAACGCACAAAGATCAATCCGGTCCTGAACCCACACATAATTGATTAAAATGCATTTTTACATGAAATTTAACTCACTCAGTACAGTCTCAAAAAGCAATCTACGTCTAGATCATATAAGGTTCTACTTATACAAATATTTTCGTATCTGATCTAATTACTAATATTATAAAAGGAAAATATGAGGCAGGCTAGAACACAATTACCATATTAATTAGATCACAACAAAATGTTAGTCACCGTCTGATCATATCGCATCGCATCGCATCGCATCGATCATGGATTGAAAACGGTCGCTGAATTTGCAGAGAGAACTGTCGGAGAATGGAGACGATGACCAAAGACTTAGAGAGGAATTTGGAATATTAGGCTCAAAAGTAAGGCAAATGCTTTCCTGCTTTTTGTTAGTTGGCACTGTATATAGTATGAACATTGTAATTCCGTACATTCTTGGACGAATATTTTGCACTGCCATATGATACACAATAAAGATACTAATATATATTCCATGTGCAAGTGTTATGCTATACGTTTAATCAACTTTGGACATAAACACTTTTAATATATAATTTATGTATATTTATGGCAAGATCAAATCTGTAGATTCAAGTTTTGGTAGTTTGTTAATTACAAGGATGGTGATTATGAGATACAAATTACATATGAATAAATCTTAAATAGTTAGTGGTCGTATGTAATCGTTATTACGGACAGACCATTACGTGTGACATTTTTTATTTGTGAAGTAAGTAAGTAATCTCACAAGTTAAAGTGTGGTGATACTTAAATGAACACATAGATGTTTTGTTATAAAACAAAACATTGGAGACCCGTTGGAAAGATTCCACATGGATAATTATTTAAGAGTCGTGGTTAATCTCTAACGTTCGATAGTTGAATTGGTTTTTTGACTTGAGGTCATCATAGTGCCTTATATGAGTCATGCATAGAAGGAAAATCAGAAGAATGAGATTCCAACTAGTTAATTAATTAATTGAGTTGCTTGTTAATAAGCCGGAATAAATTAATTGAATAAATTAATTTATGGACCAAATTTAATTAATTTGATTAATTATATATTGGACCGTGTTAAATTTAAGAGACGGATCAAACTCACTTGGACTTATATTAATAAGCCATTAGGGTTTTAAAAAAGAACATAACATAATTCATTATCTTACTAGCACAAGAAAAGAGAA